CCACAGCCACAGCCACAGTCCACAGCCACAGCCACAGACCTATATATATATATATATAATAGATATGTATATGTATATATACATGTATGTATGTATATGTATATATCTACATCTATATATAATATATAATATATATATATATATATATATATATATATATATATAAATATATAAACACATATATACAGAGTGAGAGAGAAGCGAGAGAAAGAGAGTATACATGTAGACATAGATATACATGATGTGACTTATGTTATCACTCACACACACACACAAAAAAAAAAAAAAAAACAAAACACACACACACACCACCCACCCACCCACCACACACACACACATATATATATTCATATATAATGATACCAACGAAAATAAACAGCCACAGATCCACTTATAGAAGTTAGTAAATATGTACTCAGAAATCCAATTCTATAGTAAAATTTTGGTTTGAGATTGAGATAAGCCACGCTTGCGACATACATGCTTGTTTCACGACTATAAACAAAGCTCATACTTGTAAGACAATTATATGCGTGACCACAGACAACTGAATAAAAACGTGTGAATATATTCGTTTGTGGCAAAAATGAGGTCTATATACTTCGGCGACTGTATGTGTATTAATTCATGGATGCATATATACAGTAGCAAATGTGCATGCAGATAACAATGTATGCACTACCTTCCCTCCTTCGGATACATGTTTGCCGAGCTTCTCTTTCAGGTCGCCTACAGTTGTTGTTTTATTGACCCCACACTGTACCACACCACCGGATGGCAGGAACACATTGATAATCATCGATTCCTCCATTTTCGCAAGTTGACTATAAGCAAGCTGCGAGCACTCATTAATAAGCACAATACCCCGTTCGCGTGTCTTGGTGTCGTATATAGTCTTAATGTAGATACTTTCACGCGACTATGGGTCGATGAGGATGAATACGAGTGCTATTAGAGGTGCACTATTGGAGTGATGGAGGCCAAATCGGGCATTGTCGAGATTTTAGCACTTCTCTTGTGTTGATAATTTTTTAATATTAGAAAGTCCAGACTCCAGACTCCAGAGTCCAGCACTCTGTGACTAGCATCAATACGAGTTGGTCGGTATCCGTTTATATCAGCAATCACAGGTCGGATTTTATCCCGAGTCTTTTGACCCGTGGAAACGTTTTGAATTAATTTACAATGATGGAGCGTTTACGTTATAATTTTTTAAATCATACCCCTTCTATTTTTTAAATTTTTAAATTGCGAGAGGTTACTGGGTAGCTCGGAGTTGAAAAGCCACAGGGGACTATCAGCCGAGTCGGCTGTCGACAGGTACACCATTTTTGTTTTTAATTTCTATTTTAAATTTACAAAAACAATCAAGAGATGCCAAATCCAATATTATCGCGTATGTAGTATATGTAGGGTAGACAGTTTGCACACATTTAGGCTACACTGCTACACTACTGCTGTTCTGCGACACTACTACACTGCCACACTGCCACAATGCCACACTGCTACACTGCTATACTGCCACACTGCCACACTGCCACACTGCTACACTACTACACTGCTACACTACTACACTGCCACACTGCTACACTACTACACTGCTACACTACTACACTGCTACACTGCCACACTGCTACACTGCCACACTACTACACTGCTACACTACTACACTGCTACACTGCCACACTGCTACACTGCCACACTACTACACTACTACACTACTACACTGCCACACCACTACACTACTACATCGAATCGACCATGGTATTAATCTTATCTCCCAAAGTGCACTGCTACAATGTGGATGTATACCAATTTACAAGGATATTTCACTATGTAATTCACACGCCTGCGTAATGAATACTTATCGCTTCGAATACTTATCGCTATGTCATGTATGTAATGTAATGTATGTAAGTATGTATGTATATATATATATATGTACACATACATACATACATACGTATATATATATATATA